ACTGACTGCAAGCTCCTTGGGGGCAGGGCCCTCAGTGGGTCCCTCTCTGTGAAGGCAGGTGTTCAGTGCACTAGGGCCAATCAAGTCCCTAACCCCAGTCTGGTAGACTTGAGTGCCAAGACACTTGAAAGATGAGCCCAAAGGGTCCATATTTCCACATGTCCACCTGAACCCAAGCAAGCCTGTGGACCCCAAGTGTCTCATCCACGTTTTTGCTGGCAAAAGACAGCAGTCTTGGTTTCTTGGGCCTCCTTCTTCCCACCACTTTCCCAGCTAGCAGCAGCAAGCTGAAGAAGAGGTTTCCCGAATGGAGGCAGGGGGGTGAGGGGGGTCATTCTGACTTTATCACCATGGTCCTTGCCCTGCAGGTGGGAAGGTGCTAGCCCCCATTCTTCTCTAGCCCTAATTAATCTGTTACTGCTTGCCATGCCCCATTCTGACCCCCAGAGAAGTGCATATTTCCTTCCCTCTTTCTTTCCTAATATAGCTAGCTTTCAAGGGTCACCTCCAGTCCCTTCTCTAGAAAGCCTTGCCTGGCTATTCCAGCCCATGCTGATCTCAGACCCCTTTGGAATGGCTCTTAGCAGCCCACGATGTAGAACCAAATCACTCTCAAATTCCAATTTGCTTACTCCCTTCCCCCCTACCAGCCCGTCAGGGGTTTTAGGGAAAGGAACCAAGCTATGAGGTATCAGAAAGAATAAGGAATTTGGGCTCCATACCTAGTTTTATTGTGTACAATTTCAAGAAAAGATTCATATTATCTTTTAATTCCGTTTTCCTGCAAACTATTTGAAGTGCCCACATATTCATTTTATAACCTGGGTCAAGGTGTGGACTTCTCTGAGCATCTGTTTGCTCATCAGCAATACCCTTTCAGCAGAGCTGCCAGGGAATTAAATAGGAAAACATACACGGATCTCTAAGAAGCTTAGTTATAACTATACAACTCTTTATCAACAGACATTCAAAACTTCTCCTTCATTTTCCCCCTTCCTTTCTTCTCTCCGTTTCTTCTTCGTTATCCTTCTAAATTACCTAGTGCGTGTAGCTCAGTGCTTGACGTATTATGGGCATTCAATAAATCATTAACTTACTTTTTCAGTACAGATTCCTTTTTATCCCCCAAAGGGCAAGGGTGATGTCTGTTCAGCTCTCTCTGGTATCCCCAACACACAACCTCATGCCCGACACAAGGGAGGTCTTCAATAATATGTGTCAAGTGGATAAACTAGGTGCCTCGGGGGTTCAGAGGAGAATGGGTGTGAGGTAAGAGTTGAGAAAATTGTCAGCCTCCAAGCTGAGCAAAGAAAGTTCTGTAAGGATGGAGAGTGGTGGTTTCCTATGGGACGAATTTTCAGAGCTATCGTTAAGAAAAGAACAGAGCCATTTATATGCTACCACTTGCAGGAGTTGGATGGGAGGATAAAGGGCGCATTGACAGAGAGCAATGTGATCTTTAAAAAGAGAGAAATCCCTAGGAGTACTCAGAGTGCTGATATATAAGTGTACTGAATGTGCCTCGGATACACATTTTCTTTGCCAATGGAACTGTATTTTACCTGCTGGCGAAGAGCAACAATTCACTTGTAGCTCAGGAAGAAAGCTGCTGGAAATCAAAGGAAAGCAGCAGGCACAAACCTGTAAGCCAGTCCCACTTCCCAATCCCCTAGACAGAAAACCTAGGAAGAGTGTGCTTTAAATTCTGCTCTGCAGTTTTCTGGGAAAAGATGATTCTGTTATAAATTATTGAACATTTTATTTAAGCTTCATAAATAAGAAACTCAAATGAAAATGTTACATGTTAGATGTTTGGCAACATATAATTCCTGTCTTACTCCCTCGATCTGTCACCCTTCTTCTATGATGGAGAATTTCTACTCCATCATAGACAATTAAAGGTCTCAATCAGTTGCCTGAGAAAAGTAGTTTATGTCCCAAAGGTACTCTAATTTCTCCAACCAAGGATGTACCTGGGACTCACCGAACATATTGATGCAGATAAATGTGTTTTTTGAACAGATCTGGGGCGTTGCAATCACCCACTTAATCTAGAGACAGGTATCTGCACAGCCAGGGACGAGCTCCTCACTAGCACCTGAACTCCCCAAGTTATTGGTTTCCATCAGAGCCAGCAGGCTAAGCCTCAGCAATCCAACAACCATAAGTATACCTAGGACCAACCTGTATCACCTTGGGGCACCTCTTGCAACTGATAAGACCACCTACAAAAAAAGGACTCAAAATTCTGGAATAGTTCTCTGTGTAAGGTAATAATGTCACCATGAGCCAGGGACTGCACTTTAAACAAGTTGATTCATTTAATCCTTATCTATCCTGCAATAGATACTATTATCATTTCCATTCTAGAGAAACTGAGGCTCACAGATGTTAAGTAATCAAAGTTAGACAGGTAGGGGGTGGCAGAGCCTGAATATAAACATAGGAATATCAGACTTCAAAGTCTGCCCAACTTCAGTCTATTTCCACTGCTGTTGTCACTTTAGAGAAAGAAAGAATCAAGGATTGGGAAAGGGATGAAGCTGGTTCAAGAAAAGAAAAAAGAGGGCTGATTCTGATGCCTGCCCGGGCAGGGCTTCAGGGCTGCATTCCATTGAGGGAGCCCGGCAAGTAAAACCCTGTAGGCTCTGCCATTCTCAAGCATAGGGTTATTTATTGCATGGCCATACTGAAGCCACACTCAGGCCAGGGGGTGCATGGAACCCTCTGACTACCACGCAACATTCTGCTTGGCTAAACCAAACCATTTGTTATGGAAAGGTTGCACAAAATTAGGGATCCCAGGAAAGTCACAGCTTCTCTGGGGAGGTGGTAAGGTGCAAGGGGAGGGATGGGGCATACCAGTCCTCCTGAAAGCCCTGAACCCTGAGACCTGAAGCCTGTGGGTCATTTCTAGCTGGTCACAGACCTACTCTATGCCTCAGTTTCTCTTTATAAAAAGATAGTGTACTGCATTGAATAGTGGTCTCCCAAAAGTTCATGTTCACCCAGAATCTGTGAGTGTGACCTTATTTGGAAATAAGGTCTTTATGGATGCAGTCAAGTTAAGATGAGGTCATACCAGATTAGGGTGGGCCCTAAATCCGGTGTGACTGGTGTCCTTATAAGAAGCGAGCAAGACACAGACACACAGGGAGAAGGTCATGAACAACAGAGGCAGAGATGAGAGTGAAGCAGCTACAAGCCAAGGAAGGCCAAAGGGTTGCCGGTGACCACCGGAGCTAGGAAGAGGCATGGGAGGATCCCCCCAAGCCATCAGAGGAGCATGGCCATGCTGACACCTTGGGTTCAGTCTTCTAGACATCAGAACTGTGGGAGAATAAGTTTCTGTTGCTTTAAGCCACCTGGCTTGTGATAATTTGTAACGGCAGCCGCAGGAAACTAATACAGATGGAGAAACACTGCCATCCCACTTTCCTCACAAGGTTGTGGTGAGGCTCCAAAACACATTCAATTCTGAAAAGCGCAAAAGTTACTTAATTACAGAATAGCACTGTAATCAGCCATGGTTCTGGGGAGCCACACAAGGTCCCACAAAGAGCCTATAGAAGGACTCAGACTGACCATCAGAGGGCCCCAGGCATGATAATTTGATTTTGTTGCATTTTTCTACAATCTCAGTCCCAATAAATGAGGCTGGGTTTGATGCCAGTTATAGAAAATAGAATAATGGCCCCAAAGATGTCCACATTCTAATCCCTAGCACCTGTGAATATGGTACCTTACATGGCAAAGGGGACTTTGCAGATGTGATTAAATGAAAGATCTTGAGGTGGGGAGATGATCCTGTGCTATCCAGGTGGGCCCAATGTGATCACGAGGTCCTTATAAGAGGAAAGCAGGGTGGTCAGAGTCAGCGTGGATGTGACAATGGAAGCAGAGGTCAGAGAGAAATAGATTTGATCATGCTAAGTTGCTAGCTTTGGGGATGGATTAAGGGACTGTAAGCCAAGGAACGCAGGCAGCCTCTAGAAGCCAGAAAAGGCAAAGAAACGGATTCTCCCCCAGAGCTTCCAGAAGGAATGCAACCTCGCTGACCCATTTTAGACCTCAGACCTCCTGAATTGTAAGAAAATAAATTCCTGTTGTTGTAAGCCACTAAGTTGTGGTAAGTTGTCACAGCAGCAATAGAAAACTAAGACACCAGTCAAACCAGTTAGTTCATAAATGAATGTGGAATAGGGTAAGCAGAAACTCTAGAGAATTTCGGATATTCTGGGAGCCTCTCATGATCCTTCATATTGAACCCCAAAAGGATTTCCCCAGAGAGGTTTACACCCTTTAGTTGGACAGTTTTTGCATTTCTTCCATCCTCCCAGAGTCCCCCAGAAGTCATCCTAAAATTGGATCCATGGCTTTAACTACACTGAGGCCTGAATTACCTCGCTGGGGAACCCACAGCAACAGGGCTTCTGTATGCCACCACATTAAAGGCTTGACAGCCCTGTGCTCAGAGAAAAAGTTCATCTATGGTTGCTCTCTAGAAGGGACCCAGGAGTCCCCATATGGCCTCAGCTCCTATCTATAAAAGGTGTAATTTGGTCCTCATACACAGCGTTCAAGAAATGCTTTAAAGGCCCATGTCTACACTGTCCCTCTTGGTTACACACTCCCCCAATTCACAATTTAACAAGAAACCCCTTCAGTGGTTCTAGCCAACCTGAGACTCTAAGCACACAGGGACACCCTCCACAGCTGAGCACCTCTAAAGGTCACTGACAAGGGCAGCCTCACTGCCTTCCCAGGGCATCAGGCAGCAAGAGGGAAGGTCTGCACCGGCCGGGTCTTCCTATTGACGTGGTATGGATTTCCTCAGTAGTGTAATTGGGATTTCCTAACAGGTAAAATTAGGAGGGGGTTCTGGGAAGACCAAACATGAGATCTGAACAAGAGTCTAAGCCCACTCTCTTCCCTCCTTCCAGCCTTCCACACCCCCAACACACACACACACTAATGCCTGGTTTTGCATCTACTGATAGATCTGGTACCTGGCACCGAGTATGGAATTGGAATATCTGCCGTCATGAACTCACAGCAAAGCGTGCCAGCCACCATGAATGCCAGGACTGGTGAGTAAGAGGCTTGGTGAGGAAGAAGACCAGGTTAGCCTGTAAGCCTGAAGAGCCATGGAGGACTGTCCTGGCAAGGAGTAGTCAGAAGGCAATGCCCCCCAGTGCACAAGACTCTGGTGACAACTATCAGCCTAGCAACAACCTCCACCCTGTAACTAACCTCTGACATGTGACAAGCAGGACGGAGTCCCATCTTCGTCCCCATAGATCTGTGCTTGGTCTCCCATGGTCTGAAGGACTGCCCAGATCTGTGCAAAGCAGAGGTGGAAAATCCCAAATAGGTTGGTGCCATAACACGCCATGTTTCTATCCAGACCATCCTACAGCAGGCAGAATGGGGTGTCCCTCACCCTGTACCACAGAAGCCCTCAAAAAGGCCACTGGCGTAGAGTTCTAGACTTTGGAACGACTCATTAAATCCAAGGGCAGTATAAAAGTCCATTTGAGACACTTGCTGCCCTGGATCCAACAGTTTTGCTTCCAAACCCTGTGTAAATTTCAAAGTCACTCCAGTATCTTAGATAACAAACAGCCTAGGTTGGGCTGGGGATATTGGACCAATTCCAGTCCCAAGGTTCAATCTAGCATAGACAACCTCTCTAGAGAGCCACATGGACAAGGGTCTTCAGAAGTCCTCAGATCTGTTTGCCTGCACACCCACGGTTAGGCCAAGTCAAAACAACCTCAGGGATGGGGGAGGGAGGGATGCGGGGCAGTGCTGTTGCCAGGAAAGGCATACCCCTACCTAACGGTGGCTCCTGTTTTGCCCTGGTTGGCCTACTGAGAGAGCCTAGGAGAAAATGAATACGGAGAGCTTGAAAATCAGCAGCCACCTCTGTCCCAGAGGTGGATGTCCTCCAGGAGTATCAGAGCTCATAACGCCTTTCTGCAGATTGTCCGTCTGCTTGCCAAGCCCCTGGATCAGGGTCAGCCACGACAGGCTAATGCTCATGGTCAGCAGGCCTGCTGATAGCTCAGAAACACTGGCCCTCCTGAGGAACCTGTAAAAAACTGTTTATGTTGATCCACAGAACTTGACAGTCCCCGAGACCTCATGGTGACAGCCTCCTCGGAAACCTCCATCTCCCTCATCTGGACCAAAGCCACTGGCCCCATTGACCACTACCGAATTACTTTCACCCCATCCTCTGGGATCGCCTCAGAAGTCACTGTGCCCAGGGACAGGACCTCATACACTCTGACAGATCTCGAGCCTGGGGCAGAGTACATCATTTCCATCACCGCTGAGAGGGGTCGGCAGCAGAGCCTGGAGTCCACTGTGGATGCCTTTACAGGTACCAGGGTGGTGGGGAGCCCAGCCCAATGCAGGGATGAGTGGTTTTCAGCAGGAGAAGGTCATCCAGACAACCCACTCTTGCAAAGCCCCATTTCCTTTAGAGAAAAGAGAAAGAAGAGATGGGTAGAAAAAGAAGAGAAAATGAATGAGTACATCAAGAGGGAATGGTTGGAAGTAGAAAGGAGAGGTGAGCAAGGCTGCTGCATGCCTAAATGTTCATGTCTGGTTTCCCATAGCCTGGACATGGTTCTGATTCTGCTTGCGTTAAATCTGGGCATTCAGAGGATCCATGGGATTATGTTCAATTCCTTCCAGGAGAGAGGCTTTAATCCTGGGTCAGTATTATGAATAACCCCCAGAGGTATCTCTGGTTTTACCAGAGCTCCTTTTTCAGTAGACGGCTTGGAAAAAAGAGCATGGACAGGCCTGGAGAGTGAGTCGGTGGAAGCTGTGGGTTAGCGGGTGAAGGTGTAGCCCTTATTAGCAAGAAGAACAGATCCCATCAGTCAGGTGGCTCTTCTAGCCCAGTGGCCCTACCACCCCACACGTGTTTCAGAACCATCCATCTCCTCTGCTTTGCAGGCTTCCGCCCCATCTCCCATTTGCACTTTTCTCATGTGACCTCCTCCAGTGTGAACATCACCTGGAGTGACCCATCGCCCCCAGCAGACAGACTCATTCTGAACTACAGTCCCCGGGATGAAGAGGAAGAGATGATGGAGGTCTCCCTGGATGCCACCAAGAGGCATGCTGTCCTGATGGGCCTGCAGCCAGCCACTGAGTACATTGTGAACCTGGTGGCTGTCCACGGCACAGTGACCTCTGAGCCCATTGTAGGCTCCATCACCACAGGTGAGGCTGGAGAACTTGACAGCAGGTAGTGAATGGGGTTCTCAGTAGCCTTTGACAAGTCAATGAAATTTAAAAAGAGAAACACCCAAAGAGTAAGACATCACCTCTATGGCTAGAGAGGGTCAGTGAGCTGTTCTGAATCAGCTACTTCTTCCAGTGCTGCACAAGATCACGAGGTGGGAAACTTCCATTCGGAAGGTAGGACAGACCCAAAATTTCCATTTGGAAGGCTTGAATGCATTCGTCCAGGCCCTAGGAGAAAGCCCTGGAGAAATCTGGACTCCAGGAGGAAGCCCTTTACAGTGAGGAGACGCCTGCTTCTGTTCTGGAGAGCCACCTCTTGACTGCCCAGCAAGGTCACCAGTGCAAATGATGCTTCCTCACAATCACACTTTACTAGCGTGCACCCACGTGGTGACTGGCACTTAGAGAATAGGGTTGATTTGCACATTTGGAAAACACAGGCCCTATGCGATGAATTGAATCATTCCCATCTCATCATTCCCCAGTATAATCCCAAATATCAGTTACATGTGGATGAGGACATATGCATTTGAGTACTTTCCTTCATACTGACAAGAATTCACAAACTGGACAAGTGGATACAACACTCAGCTGACTCAACCCTGCCATCCCCTAGCTGTCAAAAAAAGTATACAGCACAAATGAAATACAATTGAGGAAAGTGGATTTGTTCTGGACTTGTGCTCTGACATCCCTCTATAGTCAACAGGCAGTTTTCCCAAATTGAACCAAAGGTAGCTGCTAAAAATAAGAAACAGAGGCAGACTTGGGTTTGTACAAGAGAAGTTTCCCCAGAGAAAATGACTATGTTACTCTGAAACAAAACATACAAACTAAGTGGAGAGTTTCTAGTTGTACTTCAGATAGATAATATTTGCGGCACAGGCACAGACCTTGCCAGCTTGGCTTCATATTGTTAAAATGTTCTCCATGAACACGGCCTTGGCCACACCTACAAGGCTGCAGGTGAGACATCAGCCTGACCATGGTTTAAGGATGCCATGTTACTCAGCAAGACCTGTTCTGCCTCTGGAACACCACTGGCCCTTGCTCAACACAAAACCAGGGATAGGAATTCCTTTTTCACACTGTGCTTTCTGTCTTTTTCCCACAACCGCATGGATCCTCACAGGAATTGACCCTCCTAAAGACATCACGATTAGCAATGTGACCAAGGACTCAGTGATGGTCTCCTGGAGCCCTCCCGTTGCATCTTTTGATTACTACCGAGTATCATATCGACCCACCCAAGGTAATGAACTTGATTTGTCAAAGATGAATGGTATTTGGAGCAGGTGAAGATTAGTATGGAAGAACTAGCATATCCCACAGGAATCAGCCCCTGTCTGCATTCCCTTCCCTGCGCCCCTCCATGGCATGCTCCATCAGAATGAGAGTGAGTTGGTGAGGAGTAGCCCAGAAACCCTGCACTCACCAACTCCTCTCAAAAAAGGTCTGATCACATTCACCCAGAAAGCAGGCCCTTCACCAGCAGAGGGAACTAGTCACTATTATCTAGGCCTGTAGTGAGAACAGAGCCCTAAAAGGATCTGCTAAGAGCCAGGGTCATGTGTACTTTCCCAAGAGAATAAAGTCCAAGACCAGAACTGGGGGGATGGCTAAAGACCCAGAAGAGCCAGATGGAGCCTTGGAGGGAACCACAATGACGTGGTCCTGTTTCTGCCACTCCAGCCAACTTATGAGTCAGAGGAAGTTGGCCCAGACCTCGCCTACATCCTGCCAGTTCCTGCTGGTGCATGTGGCATTGTTAATGAAGCAGAGGGCACACTCACTTCCAGTGAGGGGGTTGGACAGCTTTTCAAGCTATCCTGTCTCTGGGCTGCACAGACCACTCTTTGTAGCCAAGACCTCTACACGGCCTTGATGTAATTGCCTCAGAGAAGACCAGCGTGTTAAAAATCACCTAATACATATTTCAATTGTCTTTGCTCCAGGGAGCCCATAAAATGCAGGGGTGGGATCAGCATGCAAGGTCTCTTCAAACTCCAACACTCCCAGCCCACGAACCATTTATCTTTTCTCCCCGTGAGTGCTGAGTCCCATGCCCATCCATGCTTCAAGACAAAGTGCCATCGGGAGCTCTTGTGTAGGCTCTACACGGACTGTGTTGAGAGAGCCACTGAACTTTAACTGTCAAATTTGCTCTTCCTTAGTGGGTCGGCTGGACAGCTCAGTGGTGCCCAACACTGTGACAGAATTCACCATCACCAGGCTACACCCAGCTACCGAATACGAAATCAGCCTCAACAGCGTGCGGGGCAGGGAAGAGAGCGAGCGCATCTGCACTCTCGTGCACACAGGTAGGCATGTGTCCCTGCTGTGCGTCAGCTCAGAACCCGCCTGAGGACCTGCAGCAAAGAGAAGAGGCAAAGAGTGATGTTCTGCCTTACACGGAGGGCACCAGTTCCAGGCTCTGAGCCTCCGTTCCTGGGTGCTTCTCCGACACACTGTGTCATGCAGGGCACTTAACCATTTCTCCCCGCTCTGTCCCTCATATTCCTTTCTAATACTACGAGTTTAAAGAGTCACCCTCTAGGAGGCTTGCTGGTTTAGGTTAGAAATTTTCATGGGACTTCCACTATGAAAAGGGCCCTTTCAAAGACACATGATGGCAGTGAATTCCAGAACAGACATCTGAATCATTCCATCTGATTTTTAAAGGACTCAGAGAAAGATACTTAACAAGAAAAACATTGTTATTCCAGTAACGTGAAATTGGAGTCATGAAATTCTTCATCATATATGGCCAGAAATCACCAAGGAGCTGCATTTACTCTTGCTTTATGCTCCAGGGACAAGGAGGCCTCAAAGTGGCCGTAACTCCCTCACTGTGGTGAAGGTAGTGGAGGTGACGCTGCTCCACGAGGCATCCTGGGCCGCCTGCAGGAGCACCGTGTAGTCCGTGTTCTCCGACAGCCCCTCCAATCGGATCCAGGTGTCCTCTGCATCCACAATCAGCTCCTGCAAAATGAGCAGGGGAAGGAACGTGGAAGGGAGTGACCGGCTCACAATATGGGAAAGTGGGAGAGGAAAGTCCAAATCCCATGGCTTTTCTCTGGAACACAAGCCCCCTGGATGGGCCTGAGGACAGGGCTCTGTTAGTACCTCCACTGCCCCTCTGTCGCTGGCCCCTCAGCCAGCCCAGCATGCAGAACTAGCAAAGATTTGCTGTAAAAGTCACTAGAAGGCACAGCCAAAGTTTTCTGTGCTCAATTCCCAGACCAAACTCCTAGTTAAACCGTCATTCCCACAGCACGTGTGAAAACATCCAGCTTGCCTCATTAGGAGAACAGGTGGATTTCCCAAGGTTAATTTCCCTGGAGAATTATATTTTCTGAATGAGGAAAATGTAGCTTGGGATTCCTCGCTGCTTTTGTAGAGGTTTCCACAAGCTCAGAAACAGCCTCTCTAAGGCAATGGCCAAAGAAATATTCGTTCAGAAACAAAATTCTTCTAAAGACAGCACAAGATATTCTAATCTTCCCTAGTCTCCTTCCAGGCCTCTGACTGTGGATAACCTAGCCATGTTTTCTTATTCATTCTTGCGCTCCACCAAATTATCTGTGACCATTAAAATATCAACAAATGTTGACAAGAAGTAATGTCCAATGAGCCAAAAGAAGCCCCCTTTCCACCTTCCTGGAAGTCCTAGAAATTCATGCTAAAGAAATTAGGCTTTTTCTCATTGAGGACAATGAAATGGATTTCAATAGCCTCTTTACCCCAAGGTAAAAAAGAGCAGCAACTCAAGTCAAAAGCTCATTCATTGGGTTCTTAGTCATAAGCAGCAAATACCTCTAAAGCAGATATTCAGTGGTGCACCAACCCTAGCTGCCCTCCTTCAAGTTTAGGCAGAGCTACTTTGGCAATGTCCAATAACTAGATTGTCCCCAGACATGTCTTATTTTGTTGTTTAACTTGAGGTCTATGATTTGCAGCTTCTGGAAATGAGGACTCCTTCAGAAGTTCATGCCCATCTCATGGTACCACACACGTCTCAGAGAGATCAAGACAATTGTGGTTTCATAAGGACTGCATTTGAAGAACTCTTTGAAAGAACAGATAATGGATACAATTCAAATTTTAAAATTATAAAAATATTTTGTGGTTGTTGCTGTGTGATGAAGGACATAGGCAAACAAAATAACCTTTCAGCTGGAGAACAGAGTCAGGTCAGCAGAAGATCTTGGTTTCCACAAGTAAATTGCACGATGCTTAGGTTGAGCTGACAAACTGTGGTAATAGCATCCATTTCTAAAATGAATCCCAACTTTACGGAAGGGAAGCATGGTAATAAAGTGAAGGCTTAGAGCATGGACAAGTAAGAATGGGAAGATGGTTCTATGACAACCAAACTCTATTCCCCCAACAGGCACTCTTGGCCCCCCTAAGCCTGTAAGAATCCCCTTGACTCTTTCCCCCACCCCCACACCGGTAAGGGGATCACAACCTTCGGCACAGAGTTGTCAGCCAGTGAGCGCACCAGCCATCCCTATATAGGATCTGAACCCGTGGCCTCGGTGCTACCAGCGCTGCATTCTCCCAAGTGAGCCACGGGGCTGGCCCCCCTTGACTCTTAATGCAACAAAAAGAATACCCAGGACTCAATCTTGAAGGAGCCTTGTGCATAGTGAGGCAAGAATTCAATAATCAGATAGGACTGTAGAGGCAACCTGAGCCCCATGCAGTCATTCCACAAGTGCTAACTGAGGACCTTTTAAGTTCTCAGCACTGGGACTACCCCTGCCCTCATGGGGCTGCCACCACACTTCCTGACATGCATCAACAGAGATCTTTCCTCAAGGCACAACTTTACATTTATGAAAGTGCAAATAGCCTGGGAAGCATGATGATCTCATTAACTAAAGGATTATAACAATTTCCATGTGTTCTTAGTTTCTCCATCTAGATTTAAATGTCTAAAACACAGCAGCCATACTTTGAAATCCCCCATAGCACCTGACACAGTGCTCTGCACATAAGAAGTTAATGAATGAATTAAAAGGAAGAGATGGGGCCATCAGGAAAAGATGGATACTTGAGAGGAAGGAGGATAGAGAGAAGAGACAGGGCTGGTGGAACTGGAAGGGGAGAAAGGGAAGAGGCCTCCTCTTATGTCATGATTTTGCCCAGCATAGCAGCAGACGTGCATCATGAGTGCAACTTCTGAGATAGTTCTCTGCTCTTCCCTCCTGCAGCTCCTCCTACCTTTAACTGATTTTCTCCTATTCTGTTTCAGCCATGGACAACCCTGTGGATCTGACTGCTACCAACATCACTCCAACAGAAGCCATGTTACAGTGGAAGGCGCCCGTGGGTGAAGTTGAGAACTACGTCATTATTCTCACACACTTGGCAGGTGGGCATCTGCAGGCCTGTGCATCAGGCAGGTGGGGATGGTGGGGACTGGGGCTGCAGAGCAGTATGGAAGTGAAGAAACAGAACATTTTGTCAATCTGAGGGACAAACTAGCAATTTTCCTGCTTCAGTTATACTATAAAGCCCTCATGCTATCCCCAAACTCTACAAACTGGATCAATTATAGGAATCGCCAAAGCCAAACCTGAAAGGTGCAAAAAAGGCACATAACCAAGGGAAAATACAAGAACAGAGAAACAGTACTAGGAAGACAAAACTCAGATTGTGTTAGACATGCCCCCAAATGCTAAAGACTAGAAAGTAGATTTTTCTGGCTATTTACAGTGTAAGAAAAACACTGAAGTCATAGGCCCAATCCTGGAGCAAACAGTACATGATAACAGGTGACAAAGGGTTCACACTCCTGAAGTCGTACATTGTGTGGTCTTCTTTACACATATCTAGCCCAAAAGGTTGAATCAACATGTAATTTCAAATTCCAATGTCTCCATCATGCTTGTTCACCTTATGCTATTTGAAGTTGAATAGAGAAGCCCAAAGCAAAATAGTGTTGAATACTCCACATCTCTAGCTTTGAGAAAACTATTTCCCTCACTAAATTAAACATGTGATCACGGAATTGTTGTGGGTTATATTCAGGAACCCAGAGAACAAAGATATAAGACAAAAGGCAGACAGATGTCTTGATTTTCAAAAATGGCAGAGAAAGCCAATTCTGTAAGCTGCAGAGAAATAAACTTACTGTGAAAGCTTAAGAAAGTAAAAACTAAACAGACTATTAACAAACTGGAAAAGGAATTAGTGATTACTACATATGAGCACAGGTTCACTGAGAATAAAATTTATCAAAACCACTCTATACCTTTTTTTTTAATTGGCAAATCTGCTAACACATTTCATCAATGCATTAGAAAAGACTAACTGTCCCTTAGTTTTTAGTTAAGATGGAAAATACACGATGGATCATATTTCTGATTAGCTGGAACTGTGGAAGTGAATGGCCCTCCTCAAGGAGAGGATATCATCATCTGTGTGTACGTGCAATTCATCTCAGCCACCACCCTCCATGCAGATCATGATTCTGCATTTCTTAACTCTCACCATGCTTTCTCAAGCCTCCATGAATTTGCACATGCTGTTTCCTCCACCAGGAAGTTCTCTCCCCACTTGTCTGCCTACAAAACCCATCCTTCAAGTCTTAGTTTCCACACTATCTCCTCTGTCAAAGCTTCCCGTATTCCCCCCAGGCAGTCAGATGCACCTCACCCAGCCCCACCACAGCAATTAACTTCATTCATTCAACCAATATTTTTGATGCCCACTCATAGGCCATATACTCTATGGGGCTGGAAGGATCTGGAAACAAAACATGAGTTCTTCTCTTCATGGAACTTATTTCCAGTGGTGATGCAGAGAAGGAGATAGTTACGACTCAGTGTGAGCAGTGTCATCATGCAGACAAGCACAGAAGACTGTGGGCCATATTCAAAGGCCACTATGATTTGGGGTCAGGGTGTGAAGGGGAAGAAAGGAAGAAGCTCTTAGATAAAGTGAAAGAAAGCAAAGAGGAGAAGGAAGGGAACTCCAAGAAAAAGAGCAGGCTGGGTGCATCTGAAAGGTGCGACAGAGCATGTGGAGCATGAGAAGCTGACAGTTTGGTACAGCTGGAGCACAGAGGGCGGCAGGATGTGCAAAGGTGGATATTGAAAAGACGGAGTCCTATGCATGCTCTTCCAAAGAATGAGTTCGGGTTTTAACTTGTTCATATGCCTTTCTATGCCTTTCGACCACAAGAAACTTGAAATCTCATGCCCTACCTAGCTTGGACATGTACCGATAAACTTTGTTAAATGCTGGATGATTCAGAAGTACACTAATTGCCCAACAGAGGGCTTGGCCCTGATTTAATGAACAGTTTTATCAACAGCTTGAATGAATTCAGAGAAGACATGCTTACCCAATTTGTGTATAAAACAAAACTATGATTGATAAAATCCAAATGAAAAAATATTTTAATAAGCTGAAACAGTGGTCCAAAACCTAATCAACAAGGCAAAACACAATAGAAATAAATGCACAGCTCTGCCCATGGGTGCAAAAAATCAGCTGGGATTTTTGGGGGGGGAGGGTTGGGAAGGTTATAAACAACATCATTGATTAGTAATAATCTCAGCACTTGACAACAATATCACATGGCTGGCCCAAAACCTAATGGATTAATATAAATGGTAGAAATAGAAGCAGAGGCTGACCCTGTTTTTCTCATTGGTCAGTGCATCTCAATTGTCATTCTCAATTCTCTTCTGAGTTTTGCATTTCAGCAGGAACACTGACAAACTGTTACCTGTCCAGAGAAAAGCAGCCAGGCTCACTAAGGTTTTAGAATAGTCACGTAAATGTAATGGGAGGTGGGAGCTAAATTTTCTCATCTAGAGAACAGAGGACTTGATTAGGAAAGATTGTAGGGAGAAAAGTACAGACAAAGGATTCAGCTTATTCTTTGTTACTCCAGCAACCCAAGCAGAAGTTCTAGAGAAAACAATTTGGCCTTCACATAAGGAATGATTTTCTCAATTAAAATGTAAAAAAAAGATTAAAGGGATCCTTGTTTGGAATAAAATGCTAAGCTAGATAACCTATAATAAACTTTTTCCAAAATTCTTCAGTATTGAATCCTTGTGAAATGCCTTTGGATTTGGTAGGTCTTTCCTAAGTTAAGTAGTCTTATTTAATCCTTATTCATATTCTTCTGATTTCAGTTGCTGGAGAGACCATCCTGGTTGATGGAATCAGTGAGGAATTCCAGCTTGTTGATCTGCTTCCCAGTACTCACTATACTGTCACCATGTATGCCACCAGTGGGCCTCTCACCAGTGGCACCATCAGCACCAACTTCTCTACCTGTAAGTAAATGGTCATCTACACACCTGATATCCCTGGAGGCTTTGTGGATCCTTAGAAATGATCAGTTTCCTTGTGGTAGACTAGATTATAGTCTATAGACTTTGGACAGTGCACCTATGAGCTGTTCTTATTTTGGTTGCCTGCAGCCCAAATCCAGTGAAAGTGAGCTGTGGCTCCTGGCCAGCAGACACATGTCTATTTTCTGCTATCACCCTGGGTCTGGGTGACAGCAGTAGAATCCGAGCTAAGAGAGGCCAGTACTTGGAATGCATCTGGCCCAGAAAAGTCTGATGGGTATTAAAAAGCTGGATCTAGGGGAGAAGGCTGCTGGGTGGTGTCATGACCAGAACAGTAGACAAAGGTAAAATGTGGGAATGTTATAAGTTCAGGAGTGAATTTGCAGACATGCAGGTTTAATAAGGCCAGGGTCCCAGACATAGGGGGTCAGACTCCCAGGCCCAGAGGCCCAGGTGAAAGAAGCAGGGAATAGCTGCAAGTATGATCACAGCACTGAATAATGATTTTCTGACCCAAGAGCTCCCTTTGTGTTCCTGTCCAAACCAGAACTGGGGTCAGCACGTGAGCAGCCCTGAGACCACAGAAGTGGGCGAGTAGATACTCATGCCTAAAATCAAGCAGGGAAGAGCTGGAGAGACAGGCACATTCTGGCATTTTCTCCTCTTTGCAGTGCTGGACCCTCCTGCAAACCTGACAGCCAGCGAAGTCACCAGACAAAGTGCCTTGATCTCCTGGCTGGCTCCCAGGGCAGAGATTGAGAACTATGTCTTGACCTACAAATCAGCTGATGGAAGCCGCAAGGTGAGATTTTGCTGAAAAGGGGAAAGACCATTTCTCTGAAGTGAAGCCAAGTGGAAACTGACCGGTGGAATTTGGAGGGAGGGGAACAGATCTACAGGGAACAAACTAGGTTTCCCATCATGGATGCACAGCCTGCTGGTGAGGAGAGAGCTCTCGCCTGCAAGCCAAAAGATCTGGGTCCTAGTCCTGTCTCTACTACTACTCTCTACACAAGTTGAGGCAAAGCAACAGCCCTCTCTGAGCCTCTGTTCCTCCTTCTCAATGACGGGGGTGTCTGCCCCTGCAACTTCACTAGGTTGTGGTGACGCTTCCAATATGATGAGGCAAAGCACACTGGAATCTTCCAAATACATAGTATTGGAATGATTTTTCACTAGCAAGGCCAAGCAATCATGAGCTGGATACCAAATTCAACAGGCTTTTATACTACTTGATAAGCATTATAAAGGCTACATCTATATAGCCTACAGTAAAGAGACGACACATTTTTGTTTTATGTGATCAGTCAAAACAATACATCTAGAGCACTGGGTTTTCAATTTTTTTTAGCAGTGGATTCCTTTTTCAACGTGCAATCATATGTAGAAGCCAAATGGAATAGATATAAGCAGAGCTAGTCTGTTTGAGGGGAGTGGGGAGGCCTGGGATCCTGCTCCCTCAGATTCTTCCGCTGCCCTCCGCAAGACCAGTGCAATCTGAAAACCACTGGATTCGGTAATCTGGGTACCTAAATTTATCCCAATGTGCATTTGTGAGATAGGAGCAGCCTAAATCTCATGTGGAAGCTGTCCTCTCTGCTTGTGGGCACGGTTTTCTTCTTACTGGGGGATGGAGAGGACGACAATGGCCACTGCAGTGCTGACCTAGCTGGCTGTGGGATTTGGACTTCCTCCCACACTTTCCCATATTGTGAGCCGGTCACTCCCTTCCCCCTCCCTTCCCCTGCTCATCTCGCAGGAGCTGATTGTGGATGCAGAGGACACCTGGATCCGATTGGAGGGGCTGTCGGAGAACACGGACTACACGGTGCTCCTGCAGGCGGCCCAGGACGCCTCGTGGAGCAGCATCACCTCCACTACCTTCACCACAGGTGAGGGAGTTACGGCCACTTTGAGGCCTCCTTGTCCCCTGTGTGACGTTTGGCTCCTCAGCAGCCTCTGCTGAGACACCACCTGGGAGGAGCCTTTCAAAGAAACTCAGCAGCCTCCTCCTTCCTTCCCCCTTCCCAAGGCCCTGTTAGGAAACCTTTCACTACTAAGGCAACCACAGGAACCAGCAGCGCAAAGCCCCAGTCCACCTGGGCCAACTACATGCACCAAATAAAGACATCAGTTTCCTTCTTGCTCAGATTTTCTGCGAAGGTTTTTCCAGCAGAAAATCCCTTCTCTCCCTCCTTCCTCTGCTGCCTGTAATCAGAGATTTACCTAGTCAAAGTAGCAGTAGTAAACTTTCATTATTAAGTTTACTACTCTTCTCCTACCCAAAGCTCTGTGGTCTCAATTCAGTCCTGATAACAACAGGTGAGGAAGGCCTTAGGATCCCCATTTTGCAGATGATAAAACTGAGGCACATGGAAATCAAAGACTCACATGGCTAGTAAGTGGCGGGGGTCAGAACTTGAGCCAAGGTCTTCTACTTCTAAATCCAGCTGTTCCTCTTGTCTTCCCTCACTTAAGTCAGCAGAAGATATTTGGGAAATGTTCTTAAGGGATAAAAATGTCCTAATATTTATGACAGCAAATAACTTAATACTCATACCTAACCTTTGAACGCCCTCTGCCAGGCACTGTTCCAACTGCATTACAGGTACTGTCTAATTTAATCCTCACTACAGCCTATGTGGTATGTACTATTATCTCTATATTTTTACAGATAAGGAAATTGGACCACAGAGAGGTGAAGTAACACCCCAAATCCCATAGCTGTTCCTTGGGAGAGCTGGGATTTGAACCCAGATGTTCCAGCTCTGGGGTCTGCGCTGTTAACATTCATTTCTGCCACCTCCCACGTTGTCTCTCTATAGTCTGTGATGTGAGACTGCCCAGCCCAGACTTTGGATTCTCTCCCTGCCCCACATCCTGGGGTGTGGGGCCAGTGGAAGCACATCTTTTATCCTTAGCCGCATGTGTGCCTGCCATTTCATAGCACCAGGATGATGGGTTCCTGTCCATGCTCCAGAGTCTGTCCCTCTATTCCCAGAGAGGTGATAAAAAGTCCCCCAACCCCACCCACGTGCCCTCCCCACTGAGTGACAAAGTAAGACACCAATCAGATGCACCCAAATGTCCCCAGTGGCTCTATAGAGTAGTGAGGTTGTGAATTAGTCCTCTTTCCCCTTCTTTTTTATATTTTTCCATATGTCAAAGTGTCTTCAGTGAGTACATTAATCAGAAAAACAAATGGTTTTTTTTTTTTAAATAGAAATAAACCTTGGTTACACAACAAAGACATGAATCCAAGACATGTCAAGTGGAACTTAGAGGACACTTGATCTCTTTTATGGGGCTAAAGTCAATTATGCTCATCCTCCACGCTCTTTCAAAGGTGTCTTACTCAGAACTAAAGTGTCACCCTCTTCTTGTTCAAGCCCTTCCCTGCACATTCACAGGTTAATTAAAGGGTCATGCATGGTCCCCATTTCCAAGCTACCTCTTAAAGACTCATGGGTTGGAGCTTTCCACTGAATTAAGAATTTCTATCTCATAAAAAGGACACAGATGACAGACACTTAAACAGAGCTCCAAATGTGCATATTTATTGGGTCTAAGCTAGTCATTTTATCCCCAAAATGCCTGGGTTTCAATGCTTGCTCAGTGTAGGATGAACATTTACTTCCCCCTGTGGTGATGCCACAGCTAATGGTTGTGTGCAGTATGACAATATGCCTGAAGTTGTGCTGTATCTTGCAGCTGTGCCTCCCTCCAGACCCACCTGGGCTGGAAAGGTATACCAGTGTCTGTGCCTATCATTGCCCTACCCAGATGCAGCTTCACCAAGGGGTGGGCAATAGTTTATTTAGATCAGGGATTCCAAATCCAGCTGTGGGGTCAGTAGGATCAAATAGGCAGGAGGTTAATAATTCATGTGGACATCTGGAGAGGAGGGCAGGATAGTGGCTTTGTTTGGTGGACAGTGCAGGGGACCATCAGCATGTATTTAGGTTGTTTCTTTTCACAAGAATCCAGTTGGCACTGGGCTCTTGGGGCATGACCAATACCAACTCAGAAAGGAGAAAACTGAAGAGCCCAATTTCCCGTGCAATGAGTATAGTTACTTACCAAGCTGCTCCATATAGAGTTTGGGGTACCAGAGAAGGACTAGCCATCACCACCATGGTACATGGCAAAGATGTGCCCATGTTTGGAAACTTTTTCAGAGTCTTATCGGAAAGCTCAAATTTAAATGTAAGTCACTGATGCAGAGCCTGTTGGCTTTGTCTAAGAGGTTTATCAGAAGCCACTGAATTGACTGGTTGCAGCATGAAAAATTCTTGAGCAGAAATAATGCATGTGAAATTACCTTGCACAAAGCCTGGTACATAGCAGACATGAGATAATTTAATTGGTAGGATTCAGTTGGTGCTTGGTAGACTTGAATAGTTAAATCCCAACTACAGAGCATAGAAGAGGGGTCTCTGGTGAAGCAAAGCTGAAAGAGAAGAAGATCCTTGACACCCCTCACAGGGATGGCACAGGCAAAGGGGTACAGTCTGCAGAGTACAGTGCTCAAAATCCCTCTAATTTCAGGCTCTGTCTGCCACCCCAATGCAAATTTCCCTGAATAAATTACACTAAGCTACATAGTCATTTGCATGTTAATATTAATGAGTCTTCATTGCTGTGCCACCCCCCTCCCCACAACTTTCCACCCCTGACAAGCACATTTTATTAAAGAGAAAGAGACTACAAGGGCATCAGCTTCCTAAGTGTGGGGATGGGTATATTACCAAGAAGGGACGGAAACAGCACAAGAGCAGAGTATCTTCAGTTATGTGCAGGATTGGAGTCCTGCCAGTCTGGACCGCACAGACATGAAATGCTCCTGTCAAAGTCTGAGGGTCACTGGAAGCTTCCTTTGTGATAGAAAACCAGGGCAGATGGATTTAGCGGCTAATTTCTTTTTAGCAACTAGCGTCTTTTCTAACTTCATTGACAGTACCTGAGTTTTCCACTTAGCAGCATACTGTTCTTAGGAAGGGCTGATGTCAGCTGATCCTTCTGAGTGTTTTCTATGCCTCTTCTGATGGAACAACAGAGCTTAAAGTTTGGCCCCACAGTGGTCTTCATCCACTGACAAACCTTCACCTTGTCCTGGGTGGACCAAGACAAGACATTCATTGCAAGCAGATGCCTACCTAATGGTCTGGGAAAGAGTTAAGACGTCAAAAAATCATAAAAATAAAAAAGAGAGAGAAAACAAAAGAACTGGCCCCCACAAGACCTCTCAAACCTCCTTTGATCAAGATGTCTTCCCTCATTGTGTTCCCTACACATAACATAAGCCCGTTTCATTCTTTCTATCACGTTAATAGCTTCCTGTCCGCTTGTCTCTGATGTTTGCACAGAATCTGAGGGGAATTAAATACAAGTAGTATAGAAGAGAAAAAATATGGATACATTATTTATAATTTACTGTCGCCTGAAATTTCATCCAAGGTCTACTTGTCTTTTAGAGACATGAATATAAATGAGGAAACAAATATTCCCCGCAGAGCAACAGAGACTTGGTGAACGATCCTCTGAGAGGCAGGTTTCATTGTCTCTTTTAATACTATAAAAAGCAAACAAGGCTGTCGCTAAAACTTGTCCTCAGAGACGGTGAACACTATAAAATAGGTTGTCTTGACCTTGAGGTTAAATGAAGACAATCATTTGCAGAGGTACCCAGAGACGGGTATGAAACGTTTTCTTTTATTACCTTTGCTCCAGTCCCTGCTATCCCACCCTAGGCAGAGCTGCTCTGTGGGGCTTTTAGGGAAAGCTCTGGAGTCTACTCTAACATAAACTTTAGTTTTTGAGGTTGTGAAAACTAATGAAGATCAGCAAACCCTAGACTCTGGGACAACAGATGGTGGATCATGGAATTCCACATAGTTATCAGATATTCCAGTGGGAAGGAAAACCTGATGGATGATCGTAATTCTCTGCTACCTGCCCTTATATATACCACACAACCCCCCAGCTCAACAATGTGGGAAGCAGATGGAACTTCTCTCTGCTTCACTACTTAGAAACAACTTGAGTTCTTGCTTCATTGCAACAATCAAACCCCTAACAGGAGAGGTCCACCTTCTCCTTGCTTTGGGACCTGGCTGTGGAGAAGGAAGTAGGGTGCGAATCATACCATTTGAAAAATGCATGCTCATGCTTATCCAGAATGAATGGATGGGTGTCAGATCAGAAGTCTGAATTAATCATACTGCCCAGTTTATTGCATATTACCGACATCGGTCTCCAACTAGGTCTCTTCCTGTATTTATTCATTTATGCCCTTTTACTCCCATCTCTTCTTCCGCCTTCCCAATGCAACCATTCTGATGCATTAAATTTGTATCCTTTTGTTTGTATGTTTTTGAAAAACGTGTTCTTGTAAAATGGTCTTGAGTATAGATATTTTGAATGCATGTAAATGGTTCTGGGTCACATAACTCATTCCCTATTCTCATATTTTTACTCAGCACTGTTTTTTTATACCCATCCATGTTGTTATGCATATATGTCGTCTTTTGCTTCTAACTGTTGCAAAATACTTCATGGCATGTACCCATCACTTTTATCTCTCCATTTTCCAAAAGATGGACATCAGATTGTCTCCAACCTCCCACCACCATAAATGGTGCTGCAGATATGCCTTGTACCTGCCCACTTATGGATCAGTGAGGCAAGTCTTTGGGATATATATCCAAAAGAAGATTGCTATGTCATAGGCTATGTGTTTATAAGCACTGCTCTCCTATATGGTTGTAGTGGTCTGCACTACCTCCAACTAAGCACTGCTCTCCTATATGGTTGTAGTGGTCTGCACTACCTCCAACAGTGCATGAGGGCTCCTATCCCTAAGGACATGCATCATTCCTAATGACTCGACATG